TCCACATAGCAGCAAACAACTATCTGTAACTCCTGTTCTGGGGGATCTGATGCCCTCTTCTGCCTTCTACAGGCATTGCACAAATATGATGCACTTACATACATGCAAAGCACTCATATTCATAAAATAAATAAATAAATAAAAAAAATTTAAATCCGTAATAAAATGAAAATTCTTCAAGGAACTCCCAGCCACCCCCTACCCTTGCCTGTCCTTTCTTATTGGGATGAAATGCGTGCCTATGACAGCTGAAGAATTTCTCTTAGTGCCTTGCTTTACCTATCCTAAGGATACTTTCCACAGCAACTTCTGTAGACCCAGCTGCCAGGTCTGTTACCTTCAGTATTTTGAACAGAGAACTTCCTACATACAAGTGAAGGCATAAATAGGTCTGGGTGACACTGGGTAAAGGAGCCTGTGGCCCACCCATGGATTCATCAAGAGGGGACGTAACACAGGTACCAGGGCCTTCAGCCAAAGGCAGAACTGAAGGCTCTTACATATCATATATGTATCTCTGCAAGTTGTGGTATAAATACAAGTCCAGCAGGTCTTTTTTCCCTCATCCCTACCTCCTACCACTTCCTCCTCTCACACCTGACTAGACCCTAGTGATCCACAGCTCCCACACACATCAGCTTCGAAGGCACATAGCTCCGTGCCCTCAGACCAGCTGGCTCCTGATTAAAATGGACCACGCTAGGAAGTGCCGAAGAGCAAAGCCTATTTGTATCGAATTTCCTTGGCCTTTTATAGATGCACCATGAACCTTGAGAATGTGATGTGGTGGCCTGAGACCCTGGACGGCTGTGTTCTAACCTGGTTCAGTTACTCGTGGGATAAAGCAACCACTTAACTCTCAGAACCCCAACTATGAAAACAGAAGTATGGCCCAGGGTCTGGCTAAGATCTCTCAATTCTGTCTTAACTCTAAATGTCTGAAAGTTTCCTGATGCTGCCTCAGGAAACCTCCAAACCTGCCAGTCCATATAAGCCTTTGCAGGAATTCTTCAAGTCCTTTTGTTCTATCTCTTACCCAATTCCTCCTTTTTTATTTTTTGTTTTTGAGACAGGGTCTCATGTAGTCCAGGCTGGCCTCTAGTCTGCTGTATAGCTGAAGATGACCCTGAACTCCTGATCCTCCTGCCTCTATCTCCCAAATGCTGGGATTTCAGAGGTAAACCACCACACCTAGTTCAATTCCTTTGATTGCTTATTTAGACACAAAGCAGTTTCTGACAATATTACTAAAATAATCAAACATTATAAGCCTATCAAAATCTTACTAATTTTTGCCAGACATCTGGCAGAGCTCTATCTAGCCCTGTCTGAGGCAGCAAGGTAACCTTATTAAATGCTACACCCAAGTCAGTGAACAAAGGCCTTAAGTCACCCTGAGGTGATGTGTGGACAGAGATGAAAGGGCACTCACCTCCTTCACACCTCACTTGGGGACAGCAAACATGACAGAAACGTTTCTGTACCAGTTGAAGGGCTAGACCCAAAGATAACCATCACTAACCCCAAGGAGCAGAAGAGATCAAGACAGTCTCTCTATAACAATTCTTTTTTAAAGATTTCATGCCACTATGAACGCAGACTGATAAGAAGGGGCCAGGGGCATTGTGCCACTCATTTCTGTGTCCTGGATCACCTCAGCCAACACAAGCTCTGTGCCAAGCCAAGCCTTACAAAAGGCCTGTGTTGGCTGGGCCACAACCACTTTCTGCTGCACCTTGGCTGAACTGAAAACTGAACAGGTGGCCTAAAGGTGAAGGCTGATGGGGAAAAGCCAGCTTGCTTCCCTCTTCCTATGACTAGCCCAATGTTCTGGGGAAAAAAATTTGACTTCTTATAGTGAGGTGATCCTATCCTTACAGCCAACCAACCAATCCCTAAATGGACAAAGAACTGAATTTTTTATAAACTCTCAAGACAAATGCCAACACACACACACACACACACACACACACACACACACACACACACGAGAGAGAGAGAGAGAGAGAGAGAGAGAGAGATCCATACAAAGAATTAACAAGGCTCAGAGTTCCTCTGGGTGACCTTGGGCCTGGCAGGGGCAGCCTCCTTTCCATTGTAAAAGAGTGTCTGATGTGAACTCCCCTAGGAAAAAGGAAGACAGATATAAAAGGGGAAAGACACACCAAAGCCCTAACTGACAGGCACAGGGCACTAAAGGGATCTTTACAAAGGTGTCACTGATTGACCAATTCAGAAACTTTCACCTTGGAAACTCCACCCATTTCTGACTAGTCTTCTCTAGCCGAACAGACAGCAGTGCTCAGAAGTAAACAGAGTACTTCCCCCCTGTGGCTGCCTCTGGCCAGGCTCCGGTGGCCTCCATCTCACCAGTTGCTGAGGAATTTATTGCCCGCTGACCAGCTGCTTGTGCGGCAGGAGACAGAATGGGGAAGGTTTCCGGAGCAGAATGAGAGATCTCTCCACTAGACAGGATTTCTGTCACAGGCCTTTAGCACAGCAGATTCATCAGCTCATCCTTCAAAGACTCACAGGCATTCTCCACCTCAAGGAAAAGTTTATTGTTTACTGGGCGCCAGAAGCCAACAACTTCTTATGGCTCACCAGCAAACACTTTTTCTCATGCTCTCCCTATATGACATCCCAAGGACTAAATAAAATGCCACATGCATCACCACATTTTCACATGACCTGAACCAGACCTCCTCAGTTCATTGTAGAACACGATAAGCAACTCCATGGAGAGATACGCTTCATACGTGTGCACCTAAAAAACACAGTCTAGGCAAACAATCACAGATTGGCTCCGTAAAGAGCAACCCAGAGGAAAAGTGGAAGTGGTAAAGGATAAATTTTTAATAATATCGTACACAGTAATAAAAAGAACACATCCAAAAAGAACTGAAAGGCTGGAGTTACAGTTCAATAGTAGAGCCCAGCTGGTATGTAAAATACAAGGTTCTGGGCTCTGTCCCCAGGACCAAAGTGGGGGGAAAAAAAAAGAACTAAAAGACAATAAGAAAAAAAAATGATAATGCAAATTACAGATACTTTTGTATCACATTTAAGAAAGTGTTTTATTGGAGCTTGGTTCTGTATGTGTATATAAGAAAAGTAACTTCCAAGTTTTTCCACTGAACCAACAGACAAGCGGTTCACTAGAAGCCCTTCTGCTTCAGGACACAACCATAAGCCCATCAGTAGAGGAGGAACACAGTCACTTTAGAAGAGGCAGAAACACAAGAATGGATTGCATTTTGTTGTTTTTGACTCTGAAGTTATTGTGCTATAGTTGGTGGCGATTTTTCGAATGTCAGGTTTATTACCATCGAGTCAAATACAATTTACTGATCTAATACCCTATTATTTAGTTACCTCTGCTTTTGTTATTAAGTGTCAAATAAATTAGATTATCTATACGGCAAGATTTTCCTGAGCTCAATGCAGAATCTAATTCATATTGCAAAAGAAATTGGTTTTGAAGTATCACAGTATCCTAAGCTCTTTAGTAAAGCACCACTCCAAAGCCTACCCCCCCAGACATACACAAACAGAGAAGCCCCAAAATTCCACTGGGCTTTCCTGTGAGGCAAAAACAAAGATAATTCAACACACCTTTTGAGTTCACACTGGCCTTAATTCAAACCCATGACTGTCTTTCCTGATAACACCGTCTGATTCTAATTATGAAAACTTAGCAAACCAGCATGACAAAATACCTTTCCCTTACATAGATCCTAAATGAAAAGCTGTTAAAACAGAAAACATTTTTCCTAACTCCCCACAGATGAAAAAAACAGGCTAATATGTCCATTAATCCAGCAGTGTCGATTCAAGGAACAGATTAAAAAGGCCAAGCCCAAAACAAACTTGAGCAACTTCGGCCTTGCATCAGGAGTGTAAAGCTTGCCTCCTAGGGACTGACAGAACCCTGAAATAAAGTGCTCAGTAAATGTGGACATGGGAAAAAATAACTGGGGGAGATGGACAAATCATCCTGCCTCCCAACAACGGTGGCAAACTTCACAGCAACTTTTTAGAAGCTGCAAACGGTGCACCACAGCCTTTATAGACAGATTATATAGACGTGAATACACACAGCTACTTGGACGCCAAGTGCTGGTTGCAAATACACATCCTGCACTTAAGACTGCTACAGAACAGGGTCAGAGATCTGGGGGATTGCTGCTTTTAGACACCCTCTCTGCACTGTCAAACACAGAAGGTCATTTTACCTGGTCACTTCTTTTCTGCCCTGCATTACAGGAGTTTTCTACTTTGGGATTGCTCAACTTTCAAAAGCATTGGAGTAAAATTAACTATTCAGCAACTTTATTCACCTTGGTTTAAAAAAAAAAAATTCATTGTGCAATGCCCAGGAAAAACTGACACTCAGACAGTCTTAGGGCTTGCGATTACAATCAGGAGAGGAGGGGAAAAAACAAAAATCTAGTGTGATCCAACCTATAGAGTCCTTTAAAAAGAAAGAGTCCATCCTATTGAGGGCCGGAGAACTTTTTCCCTTGAGAGACCATTCCTTGGGAACAAAAGTTACATTTCAGTCACATGGGTGTAGGAATAAGAAACAGGGCTGATGGTTTGGGTTTTTTTGTTTTGTTTTTTTCTTTTCTTTTTTTAAGCGCACTAATTACGGAGGTGTTCTACAGAACTGACGATAACACGGGTTCCTCCTAACCAACTGCAACCGGCATTTCATTGTCAAAAAGAAAAGGGGGTGGGGTGGGGGCCCAGGAGCCCGCAAGGGGCTCAGCAAGGTTACGCCGAAGGGTACAGCCGCGGCCGCCAGCTGCATCTCCTTCCCTCGCGCCCCAAATAATTTACTGCGAGCCGAGCAACTGCAGCAGCACCCCACTCGGAAGAGCCCAGCTCGGTTGCCCTGGGCCGGTGCAGCACCAGGGCAAGGGAGGTGAGGGGGGGTGAGGGGGAGGATGGGGGGATTCGGACCACCGAGAGGGAAGGAGGGGGGAACAGAGCTTTACCTTAATGCTACACTGAGCAGGAGTCTCAGACATGTCTCCCAGCGAGAGGGATCAGGAAGTTCTCAGTTTTTTTCCACTTTCCTTTCCTCTCCCCAACCCAGAAACGCTCGGCGGGGCAGCGGGACGCGGTCATTTAAGAAGTTTCTTGCAGCATCGCCAGCGGCGACCGCCCCGGGGGGGTGCGGGGGGGGGTTTCTGAGTGCCCGGCGTTGGGCGGGCAGGCAAGCGGGCTTGATGGAGCAAGGCACCTGGGCATGGGAGCCTGCGAGCACCGCATGGGGTGTGTGGGTCGCCGCTTGGTGAAAGAGGCTTAGGCGGTGGTCTCCTCTCTTGAATGTTTTCCTTCCTGGAAGAGAGAAACTGAAAGGCCTAGGGATGATTTTTTGACTAGATGGCTGGAAAATAATAAATCAGAGATTTGTCTTTTCAAATGAAATGTTAATAGGATTTTTTTTTTTCTTTTTTCTTTTGTTTTTTCAAACATGGCCTCCAAGCCTGCCTGGAACTTGCTGTGTAGACAAGGCTGGACTCAATCTCACTTGTCTCTGTATCCCAAGTGAGTGGAGGGATTCAGGTTGTGCACAACTGTGCCCAGTTTTTTCTTTTTTTGGGCGGGGGCGGGGGCGGGGGCGGGAGGCAACCTCCAGCCCATCCGCATCCCCTGGGGATGAGGCTTTAAGGAATGCTGCACCCCCGACCCCGCCAGCTGCGCTTTGCTGCGCGCTCGGTCTCCCGGGGACCTGAACCGTGCACCCCGGGCTTTTGCAGCGCGTCCCCCGCCTTCCCCCCCAGCACGGATGCCACCCGGGGATGGCGATCCAGGAAGGCGCATTCCGGGAAGGACGCGGCGTGCAGAGGAGGAAATAAGACAATAGCCTTTGTTCTGCTCGGAGACCCTGCCGCTTTAAGAGAATCCACCAGGAAATGGGAGCTCGGGTTACAGACTGCGCACCGGGAAATGTGGAGAGCGAGCGAGAGAGCGAGCGAGCGCCGGGGCGCGACTCCAGAGACAAAGCCGCGGAGTCACGGCGGGACGGAGCCCCTCTACACAACGGGGGAGCACCCCGAGAGCAGGGCTCCCGCGCGCCCCTTCCCCTGACCCCCCCATCCCAGATCCCCTGGACATTTCAAGAAATAGCGGCCACCACCCACCGACCTAGGTGACCAGACTACAAAGTTGACAGGGCGCGTTCTTGCTGCCCCCCTCACTGTCTCCCGCTCTGTCATTGGTCGAGAGGAAGGCCCCATCCTGCGGGGAGTGGCGAAGCCAGGCGCTAGCCTTGAGCACCCGCGGTTCGGTGGCTCTATTTTTATTGTTATTTATATTGTTATTTATAATCTCTTAAAATGGTCTCGGGTGCCCACTGCCGAAGACTGAGAACATTTGAGTTTAAATTCTAACCCTGCTAATACACACATAGGGAATTAATGTGGGGGTATATGATGTAGAATAAAATTTGCTACCATTTCACAGTAGTAAAAATACATGATTACATGTGTGTATAAATGCGCATACACCAAGATGTTCCCTTCTGGAGACCCGGTCGGATTTCCAAGATATCCCCTCCAATGATTTTTTTTTTTTTTTTTTTGTGGGGTGGGGGGAGGAGTTGTGACATGGTCTTTCTAAGTAGTTCTGACTTTCTGGAACTCACTGTGTAGCTCAGGCTGGCCTCGAATTTGAGATTCTCCTGCTTCTGATTTTTTTCCCCCCTACTCACTATCCCGCACTATAAAATGTGTTCTGACGTGCACAAACAACACGTTTGTTCATACATTCATCAAAACACGCCAAACCAATCTTGTTAAGAGAGCTGCGGCGGGAAACACCCTGTTTCTGGTAAAATGGGAATGGGTTTTCATCTTCCTTGGTTGGTTTTTCATGTAGACAAGGTCTCACTACGTAGACCAGGCCGTCCTTGAAATAAGATCTGCCTGCCTCTGCTTTCTCGTGCTAGGATTAAAGGTCACCAAACCAGGCTGTTGGAATTTTATTAAAAAGATTTTATTTTTTTGTGCGTGTGTTGGTTGCATAGATTTGTAAGAACACCGTCTACATGCCTGGTGCCTGAGGAGGCCAGAAGAGGGCATCCAATCCCCTGGAGTTACAGGCAGTTGGGAGCCACCAAATGTGGGTGTTCAGAGCCAAAAGTGGTCCTCTGCAAGAGCAGCAAGTTCTCTTAACCACAACCGAGTCATCTCTCCAGCCCTTGTTTTTTAATTTTTTGAGACAGAGTCTCCTGTAGCCTAGGTTGGCCTTGGCTTGCAGTGTGTAGCAGAGGATGACCTTGAACTTCTGATCTTGCACCCTTCCAAGTGCTAGGATGACAAGCCTGGGCCACAATGCCTGATTTTCCCTCCCTCCCTCCCTCCCTCCCTCCCCCTTTTCCTTCCTTCCTTCCCTCCCTTCCTTCCTTCCTTCCTTCCTTCCTTTTTCTCTTTTTTCTTTTTTTTTGAGATGGGAATGAGTTTTTAGCATTTATTTATTTACTTGTTTATACATTTATAGTGCTGGAGATTGAACCCAGTCCTTATGCATGCTAGGCAAGTGTTCTACCAGTGAGCCAGCTAAACAGCTTTTGTTTTTCCTTTGCTCCTATCGCGTTTGTAGACACTGGATGTGATCACACACTGCTGAGTTAAATCTTATAAACCCTCTCATCCCTTCTCTGTATCAATCGGATCTCTGATAACGTCTTACCTTCATTGAAAGAAGAAGTAGTATCTAATTAAGACTTTCATCGGGAGTGGTGGCACATGCGCTTTAGTCCCAGCACTTGGAAAGCAGAGGCAGGAGGATCTTTGTGAGATAGAGGTCAGCCTGGTCTACATAGTTCCACCTGGGACTATAGGGAGACCCTGTTCAAAAACCAAAACAAATCTCATAAAAATGAGAAAATTGCCGGGTGTGGTGGCTCAGGCCTTTAATCCCAGCACTTGGGAGGCAGAGGCAGGCGGAACTCTCAGTTCGAGGGCGGCCTGCCTGGCCTACATAGTTCCAGGTCAGCTGGGCCTACAAGGAGACCCTGTCTCAAAAAAGAAAAAAAAGAAAAAAAGAAAAAGAGAAAATCTAGCCAGGTGTGGTGGTGCATGCCATTAATCCCAGCGCTTGGGAGAAGGCAGAGGCAGGCAGATCTTTGTGAGTTCAAAACCAGCCTGGTCTACATAGTGAGTTCCAGTCCAGCTAGGACTTCAGAGAGACCCTGTCTCAAAAAGACACACACACACAAAATCTACACAGTGGTCCTTCCCTTGTTTGTGGAGGATGCGTTGCCAGAGGCCATAATCCTAGCACTCAGGAGGCAGAGGCAAGCAGATCTCCAGCCTGGTCTATGAAGTGATTTCCAGACCAGCCAGGGCAACAAGGATACACTGTAAGTAAGTAAGTAAGTAAGTAAGTAAGTAAGTAAGTAAGTAAGTAAGTAAGTTAAGTAAGTTAAGTAAGTAAGTAAGTAAGTAAGTTAAGTAAGTTAAGTAAGTAAGTTAAGTTAAGTAAGTAAGTAAAGTAAGTGAGTGAGTAAGTAAGTTAAGTAAGTAAGTAAAGTAAGTCTAGTCTGTGGCTGACCATGGAGCCAGGGAAAGTGAGCCTGTGGGTCTAGGGTCTTCTCTACAAAGTGCTTCTGCAGCAGATTCCACATTACTGTTAGCTGTGAGGATTACTTAACCCCAGGACCCAGGACCAAATGACTGTCAACTTCCATTCCTGGCATGTCTTGGCTTTCTCCAGGTGATTCACTGAAGTGGCAATTTAAGGTAGAGTGTTTGGAGCTCCAAAGCAAAGTCCACACACAGTAGCTATGGCAGAAGCTGCATTTAGCCCAGAGATTGACAGTCTGCAAAGAGCCTTTTAGTAAATATTTTAGACTTTAAGGGCCAAGACACAAGATTTAGATCTTTATGTAATATACATAATAAGAGAAAAAATAAGTCCACATATTTTTCTGAATTTTGCAATACATCTTGATCATATTTAGACCCCCTCCCCTAGTTGCACCTTCCCATAGTTCCCCCACCAGATTTCATGCATTCTGTCATGTATGTTATGTAGGGAATCGATTTGTGTCTCCAAATGTCCCTCTGTGTGAGTCCATCGGCTGGAGCCTGGTCAATTTGTCTACTGTCACTCCCTTAAAGAAAAGCAACTCTCCTCTCCCAAAAGTCATCTGTTGCCACCAGTTTCTCAACTACAGTCTGTGCTTTTCACCCATTTCCCCACTTCTGTGCTGGGTTTTGTCTGGTTAAGTCCACATTTTTTTAAAAAAATATTTTATTAGCTGGGTGTGGTGGCACGCACCTTTAATCCCAGCACTGAGGAGGCAGAGGCAGGCAGATCTCTGTGAGTTCAAGGCCAGCCCGGTCTACATAGTGAGGTCCAGGCCAGTTGGGGCTACAGAGAGACCCTATCTCAAAAAGACCAAAATAAAAATTGTTTTTAATTTATATAGGAGTATATTGCCTGCATGTGTATAAGTGCACACCTGTTGTACATTGCCCATGGAGGTCAGAAGAGGGTGTTGAAGCCTCTAGAACTGGAGTTATGGACAGTTGTTAGCTGCCGTGTGGGTGCTGGGAATTGAACCCAGGTCTTCTGTAAGAGCAGTCAGTGCTCTTAACTGCTGAGCCATCTCTTCAGCATCAAGTTCACGTTTTCTAAAACAGTCATAATAATAGAGATCTAATCACGAGAGGAATGAAATTCTCTTGAGGGAAAAACGCCTTACTGGTCTGTGATTCTAAGCAAGTGGTCTTTATTTATCCCAGGCTGGCCTTCTGGGACTCCTCAAGTGCTGAGGTTACAGTTGTTCATCACCATCCCTCATTTATGTAATTCTGCCTTTGGATATGGGAGTACACACATTGTATTTTAAGTGTCTCTCACCCAGATAGATGCTACCACGTAGTCACATGAATCCATGAGCATATGATTTAAGTTGAGCTTTGGTGCCTCGGAAGGCATTTCTAAAATTTTGTTAGAATGCTCCAACTTCTGGCATCTCCCCTTTAGGATGCAATTACCCTGCAGATTAGCCACTTTCAGTTGAAGTTAGGCGGAAGGTCCTCAGTACTGCAGTCAAATGAATTTTACACATGGAAATTTCCTTTGCACTTCCATGAAATGTTAAGAAAATCATTTTTGGAACTGTAGTTTCAGTTCAGAAAAATATACTGGCTGC